TAATCCTTGCCCTTACTATACAGTCTGAATTGGTTCATGGTCATCATTGCGGGGAAACTGAGGCAAACCCTCTTAACAGGGTCTTAAAGGCATAGTGTGAGGTAATGTTGGAAGTGATAGGTTCTCCCCTGGGGTTGATTAGGCTCAACCCTGTAACTTTCACTTAATGTGATATGACCCCTCAGAGCCCCAAGTTTCTGACAACACACACGCCCCAGCACCATTACTACGACACACACACACACAGCTCACACATTCCACCCTCGGCCCTTCAAACTCCCCGCTGCACCAACTGCTGTTTAGTTTAAAATGAGGCTGCCGGCAATTAACTGTGTTATGTCAAGCTTATTCTCTGGCTGTTGCTCGCTGAGTAAACTGTTCCAATTGGTCCCCAGCAGCTGACTCGGTAGAACAGTAAGTAGGTGTCTCTGTTATTACAGCATGGTTTTAAAAAGCCCACTGAGGATCACACAGTGCAGTATAGGGTTTCAGGCTGCTTGTTGTTTTATCTTGGCAACATGTGTTGGTGAACTCTAAAAGAAAAACCCATCCTTGAATTCTCATATTGCCCACATTTGACTTGTTACTGTATCAATGAGAGCAATAATACAGTGTGTCTGGAAATGCAAAAAGGACACTGCCAGAAATGTTTTGGTTCTAGTGTGAATTTTCACTTTTAGAGTGTGTAACTCTTTAAAGAAGAAATAACACAACTCTTTTATTCATCAATAAAACCAGTAGCTTATTGTGGACAATGTTAGGTAGGTACTGTCCTATACTGAAATAATTCTAATTATTATAAACCCATAATTTTGCTGCCGTATTTAAAAAAAAATCCTACTTGCGTTACTGTTATGCTATGTTTTAGCATTATCATGTAAATGTCACTAGTGGCCACAGTGGCAGTTTTTTAAAAAACATATGAAGTTAGGTCTGTTTCTGTACCTGACTTAAAGGGATAGGTCAGGGTATTTTAAAGTGGGGTTGTATGAGGTACTTGGCTCGTCCCCAGTTTGGAGAAACAGAGGTCAAGCTAAGCAATGTACTGCTGTGGACAGGGTCAGTAGCAAAACATATTTTAGCCACCTAAAAAAGTGTACACTGTGTGTTTAATATTTTCAGCTCTTTACCTTGCCGTCAGACAGCAGTGTCCTTTGGAACTTCTTTTTCTCAGCTGTAGAACTTACATATTCCTATACCAGTGGTCAGAAATAGGCGGCCTGCGGGCCAGAACTGGCCTGACAACAATAATATGTGGCCTGCGGCCAGATTGCTTTGATAGCAGAAAAATAAAAAATAATTAAATTGATAACGGCTGGTGCTGAAATGGACCTCAGTCATGACAGCTACAGTTACTCACACAATCACTTCCTCTAAAGTGATTGTGCCTCTAAAATAAAACCACGAGAACATCTTTTGCAGCAATGCTTCTTAATTGTGAAAAATTGCTTCTTATTGTCAAAGCAATATCTAGCTAAAGTTTGCTATTTCCATTTTTAAGACAAATAATGTTATTTTTTCCTTCAAAAGTTACGAAGAGTACATATACAAGCACATTAGTGTCCCAGTTTTGAGTCTTACCCCGGTTTTGATCTTATTTGGGATATGACGTTTACCCAAAACATTACAAACCTGGTTTAACAGAATCCAGGTTTCTGATCATGTGTGTGCAGGTGTGTCTTAATTCCTCAACATCTAATTTCTTCCATACAGAGAATGTGCAGAAACCTTCATAAGGTGTTTACATGCCAAAGTATCTTGGTTTCCATCAGAGTACTCTGATCCTAGCATATCAAAACCTGGATAAGATGTTTACATGCGCAACACACAAGTGGGATGCTCCATAAACCTGATCATAACCAGAATACTTGAGTGCATGTAAACACACTCATGGACTCACTATAAGTCATCTTCTTTTCAGGGAAGTTGACAAATCAAACGTATTGGTTTAAAAGCATGCTCTAGGCAGATCCACAAAAATCTAACCGCCTTACTAATTTCAGTTTTTTTACTGACATACAAAACTCTCCAAGTCTGTCTGGTTTCAGGATAATCAGGTCTGCCAGTGAGAGGATTCTTTCCATGAAGGAGCTAAGCTGACATCACCACAAGCAATGACTTGTGGAGAGGAACATCCATATTTTCTTCTCATTTGGTTGTGTTCCCATTTATGTAATAGGTCGCCGCAATAACAAACCAGTTATTTACGGTAAAAGCCCGATTTATCCATCAGATATTAATCTGAACTGTTGTCTTGTAATTCACTGCAATGACAGGCAGACCTTTTAAATAAACACTGACGGTGACCAGAGCGAGGGAGGGCCATCGCTCTTGACGAGTGATGATCCCCTCCGCTATCTCTTATGTGCTCGGAGGCCTAAACAGTTTATTTCGTGTTTGCAGTCACTTCCTAGGGGTTGTTAAGCTGATGTACAGTTTGACAGAAATAGAGGGAAACCAGATCATCTGAGGAAGATTGTTTTGAACTGATAAGTAGAAATGGGTACATTAGGGAGAAAAATGGAGCAAAACACTAAAACTGTGGGATTAGTCTTGTATTCAGTACACAGACAGATGCCACATGCTGCAAAATTCTTATGTGTGAGAATGTGGGCCCACCTACATTATTATGTTGTGACTAAAAGGAGCTGCTTTCAAAGTCATGAACTGTACCGAGAACGTGCAAAAAATTGGGGATTGTCTTTTTATGCATTTTAGTGTAGTTTTCCAGCAGAATATGTTGACAAAGTAACCTCACCACAAGGTCCATTTAGTAGATGTTCTGGGGCTTTCATTCATATCGTATGATCTTAAAGTTTGCTAAGTTGTCATGGAATTGTTTCAGGGTTTTTTTTCTGCGCACTTTGACCATAAAATGTTCAGAAGAAAATGGAAAATTTGGAAGATGGAGATTGGATTAGAGATGGAAGGCAGCTAGTAACTAAATCTGCAGCTGCTACACATCAACTGACACTTCAATACATTTTTACTCTTTAAGTGATATTTCAAATGCTGTCACTGCTTACGTAACAACTGACAATTATTTACAGTGCACCAGGCTTCGGCAGCTTGTTGTACATCTCTGGCGCTTTAACTTTAACTGAAATTTCAAATGCCTTCACTGTTTACAAGTAATTTGACATTTGTACACTGAAAATTCATCATCTTTCTGTGTTTTTAAACTGAAAAGTCAACTGCCTGCAGTGCTTGAACTGGAAACTAAAATGCCAAAAGCCTTTTAAGTAAGACTTTTTTAAGTACACTTCAACAGACACTTCATATTCTTTCATTGCTTCGACTGACACTTTAACTGCTTTAAGTGTTTCAACTTAAACTGCCATACAACATCTCACATGCAAACAATTAGCATTAACACTATTAACTTGTTTACAGGGTCTGCACCTGCACATTTTAATGTAAGCAAGCACGCTTACATTTTGCCACTTTTAGTTTTATTGCTGTTATTTGTATTTTCCCTGCGGCCTAGTACTAAATTTCCCCTGCCCTTGATGCCTCATGCCCACAGGCAGGATTCCTCATCTCACTCACTTGTACATCTTTTTTCTTTCTTACAGTAACGTGCCTTCCTTAGCTCCTGAGTCACTATGTTAACGTTGGCTAATCTGACTGTGACACATGATTGATAACCTTTCCCAAGTGTGCAGGATCCAAAGGATTAGCAGTGTTTACTTCTAGTAGCATGCTGGGTACCTCCGCTGTTAATGACTGGAATTAATAACCTGCTGACGCCTATGAGACAGCTATGTTTATGCACGGGCCGAGACATGACAGTCTGCCCTGGACATTGAGTAGTTGTAAAAGTGTCTGCCCTTGCCCAGAAAGGTTTGTGTTTATATGTCACTTATGATGATGGTAATATTCGTTTTAGTCTAAAATGATTCTTTCCAAATGTATTTTCTGGTCGCTGTGGATTGGCCTTTAACATTTTTGGGTCATATGACTTACTGAGATATTAATAATACAGGATTAGCGCAGTGTTTACATTTCTTCCTCTCTATGTATCTGTCTCTCTCTTTCTATGCTTCTGGCTTTATCAGCCCTCCTTTCCTTCCTCACACTCGCACACACACATACACACGCATACAAAGGGGCATGTGAACGGGGTAAATCCTTGACAACTTCAATGAAACCTCACACAAAGAGTGAAACTCGGGGGGATGAGAGAAATGCAACACCGTACAGTAGCCTGACCTCCTCCAGCTACCATAGTCATCTATGCACCAGATACCGGGCGTGGCCGCCTTTCCGCACAAAGCCAGAAATAAAGAGCGTAGCTATTGCTTTCACCAGCAAGACCCCCAGGTGACCTTCCTTATCGACCCTAGCATGACCCCATAGTGAGGAAGGAGAGAAGCAAAGCACCCAGTATCGCTGCACAGGAGTCAAATGCACATCACAATAGCTAAAAAGGAAGGCGCTGTCATTGTGTGCTTACAGTAAATCAGCGTGAAGGTGACAGCCCCAGTTCTTGGGCCAGGGTGCCCACCTTAAAGGCCCGGCACAATAAGTCAAACTGTTTTCTCCATTTACACTCTCACTGTGAATGTAGCCTGAAGACTTTGGTCATCCATGTATTGTTTCTAAAGCATTTCTCCACAGCTGGGCTGGTTTGTCTGTTTCGGGTCAAACAGAGGTTCATAGCTTCGGGGTTCAACTGTAGTAGGTTTACATTGAGGAATGTGTCGCATCAAACTTTAATACCAGCTGGGAATTGAAGCTTGGAGCTACTGAATTGAGCAGTAATTGAGCGGTTTGAAAGCAACATAACAACTGAATTATGCTTTGTTTTCACGTGCATTTATGTGCACTACACTAGGCAGATCCCCTTCCATCTTAACTCAAGTGTAAACAGTTATCTTTTCTGTTTATGTTCAGATATGTGACAGTTAACCCTGCGAGAGGGCTGTATTACCACTGTATAAATCCATCTATCTATTTTTTGTACGTTTTCTTACATGCCACACTGGTTTCATCCACAGTTGACCTGGAGCACATGAGGACAGTGAAGGCTGACAAACATCAGCGTTTCTGCCAAGAGAACGGCCTCATCAGTCAGTTTGTATCGGCCAAGTCGGGGGACTCGGTTAGTACAAGCCGATTCACCAAGTCATGATAAAACTGTGGAGTACAGAAGGACTTTGAGAAGAATTACCATGTCTTACTTTTTTGTTATCTCTTTCTCCAGGTGTACCTTTGTTTCCAGAGAGTGGCTGCTGAGATTCTTGGTGTAAAGTTAAACAAAGCAGAAATAGAGCAGTCCCAGGTGAGCCATAATGCCATCAAAGTTTTTCTCTCAAATTTCATCACCGTTTCTATGCAGCTGCCTCTTCAGCCACATATTAAATGGCTTATTTGCTTCAAACTAGGATAAAAAATGTATACTTATTTTTCTCTGCTTAACCAGCCTCTGTTGAGGGATCACTCTGCTCTTAAATTTATTATTGATTGGGAAGGGTGAAAGTAGCTGGTGATTTTTTTCCGAGTTCCTCTCTCTAAGCATTATGTGTAATGTTATGCCTGGACTTAAGGGAGGTCACAGTGAGTGTGTTAGGTCAAAGGAGGTCACCACACACTGTAATGGAGTTTGTGTAAACATGAGTTTGTTACGTCTGCCTCCTGTGATGGTCTACCTGCCACTGACATTGCCCATCTGTAAATAGACCCACATTGACCACATTAACGCGTGAAGTCAGAGGTTAAAGGTAGGCAGTTGTAGGAGGTTAGGATTGGCTGTCTGATTTATTTGGTTTATCTCCCACCGTTTTGGGCCAAAACAGGCTCTCAACTTGCCAGCCAGAACAAGGTGTCCAGCGGTGGCAGCTGTAGGATTTACAAGGTCACCTCCCCCAGAGGCATTAATCCTGGGTCTGATATGACCGGTTGGAGCCACACTGGCTGGGTAGTGGTTGATGAGCCTGGGTGCTACAGAGAGGTCAGGCCCCCCAGAGAAGGGAGAGCATGTAAGGGAAGGACTAGCCAAATTCTCAAGCCCCTTTCCCATCACCAACACTGCTGCTGACTAGCTGAAAATGACCATCGACTAATGGAGCTGTCCATCTACTTTCGTCTTCCTCCCCTCCCTTGATAGCTCTGTCAATAAAGCAAAGTGCTTTAATCCAGGCTAATCAAGCAGGGTGAGAGGCTAGATCCAATTTGCTCCTCATTGAATGGGGCTAAGACTAGTTGACAGAAACACATAAAACTTGACATTGTGAAGTGCTTTTTAGATCTGTATATATACAAACTTCTGATGCAGTTTCCTAAGAAAAATACAATTGTAACAGTAAAGCAGTGACCTCATTATGGTGGCCACTAGGGCCGTATCTAACAATAATTTTTTAATTGATTAATCTAATTAATTAATATAACAATTTATCCAAAATAAATTCAAAAGGATTGCTGTGACACATATCACATATTTTATTTTTAATATTTTTAAGTACTTGACATAAAACCTTAAATGGTTATGACATAGATTTATTTAATCACTGAGTAATATGCAGTAAGATAATCACTGACAAACTTATTTTTGCATCAGTGTGGGGCAAAGAAACAATTTACAGACTGTAACAACAGTCATAAGCCATTTTTTCCACTAATACATGGCCCTTTAAGTAAACAGAAAATATAAAACAGCCAAACGTTAGATGAGGCATGGTGTCACATTACATTACCATGACACCAGTGGTGCAGAAATTTTTTTAACATGGAGGCGATGAAGAAACATTTACAAAATCAATATTAAGTGACTGCTACTAAAAGAAACACGTTCCTTATGTTGATAATCCTGATATATTGTGCTTGTGTGGGGACAAAAAGTACACAGAATACTTGTGTCAACAGTATTTCAACAAAAAAAAGATGTTTCCAGAAATTTCAAAGCATAATGATATCAGGAAAAGCAATTTTCTATTTTATTCTATTTACCAATTTTTAACACATTCAGTACATACTGAATGACTACTGGTTTGTATTATGTATATAGGTATTATTTCCACTATCAATTAATCTTACATTATTTTCTCCATCAGTTATTGTTTGCTCTACAAATGTCAGAAAATATTTTTTTTAAATGCTAAAAGATTCCCAGAGGCCAAGTGACGCCTTTTTAAATGTTTTGTTTTGTCCGAGTAACAGACCATAACCTGAAGATATTCAGTTTAAAATGATATAAAATAGAGAAAAGCAACAAAATCCTCACATTTAGGAAGCTGGAACTTGGGAATGTTGCAGACTAAATTTCTGTTTATTGACTAATTGACTAATGTTTCAGTTTTTATATAGTGCACTTAGAAAACCCCCTGCTGTATACAAATTATTAAAATACATTATTGTTGTATAATGTTGTAGAAACATTGACACACTGAGTTTGTGTCACGAATATAGAGATGCGCAGTTCACGGCTCTGGGTATAGCCATAGGGCTAGTGAAGCCTCATTATCAGCTGTCAGCTTTAGAGAGCTGAACATGAGGGTCACAACCCCTGACAGTATTATATCTGCCTGGCAGCCCTCTCCGTCATGGTCCTCTGTCTGTTGGATCAGATAGCGAGGCCACGGATCACTCACTGACTCCAACACCAGGCTTCGGCAGCTCGTTAATCAGACAGCCAACCAGGGCCTGCTTTTCAGCCATGTGGTCTGTTTGTCTTTGGTTATGTAGCAAAGAGTCCAACAGCCTGTTGCACAATTAGGTTCATTATGTACGCCACTGAAGCAAAATCTTATGTATTCATAAAATTTACCAGCTGCCCCAATAGAAAGTTACATTGTAGATTTAAGTCTTAGCTTACAGTATAGCTTTGAATGCTCAGAAAGGTGTAAAGATTTCCATATTGGTCAGAAAATTTGGATAAAGTGGCTAAAAGATCCAGAGGAACAAATATAGCTTGGGCTTATAGTGGCAACATAAAATTAGATCAGTGTACTGAATTACTGATTACTTTTAATGATGAGGGATTTACATCAGGCACACTTTTATTTAATCTTTGGCTCTATCCATTATCATGTATTCATAGCTATTAATGGGAAAGCGACATACTATCAAATGTGAACAATTTACTGTAGTGCCAACTAGGGCTGCAACAACAATCACATTGGGTTTTGGGACATCATGATATTTTCTGAATTTTTATCAACTAATATACTAACAATAACTGTTAATTACAGCCCTAATTTATAGAGTTTTAGGTTCATTTTAAGTTTCATGTGAGATATTTGGGTCATAGTTTTATGTTTTATTTAAAAGTTAAAGTCAGTCATTTTGGCCCAAAGATGGATGTTTTCCTGTGCTAGCTAACTGTCTGCATTATTGTCATGCTTCACTTTTTTGGTCTGTTTCTTACTTTTTTCCCCATTTCTCTCACTTCCGCGACCCTTCCCTCATCCATTCTTATTCATTGTCCACACCCTAACTTTGCTTTGGTCTCCATTCTTCTCACTCTTCATCCTCCTCTCATCATCCTCTCCCATGCCTCCACTACTCTGACGTGTTGAACCTCCTCAGAGGATTGTGAAAGCTGAGCTGGTGGACTACCCACAGGATGAAGGCCCAATTAGACAAGAGAACAGCCAGCAAAGCAAAATATGTTCTGTTCAATAGTTGGAAGTATGTCTCCACTTTTACGCAGATATTTTTCAGTAGATCTGTCATAGATCTTAGAAAGAGAAAACAATTGCCTTGTAGTTGTAGTAAACATTGCAGTCATGGTGGATGTATGTGGTGCCTGTGGTTCAGATTAGAGCTCTAGAAAAGGTAGAGAAACCCATCAGACTAATAGAAGCTAATAACACCTTTAATGTTGGTATCTTGTGTTAACATGGAGTTGACAATATTTTGCTATAGTGTCTTAGGAATCTAAGCAATGTGTGTTTCTCTGAGTTTCATGAAAGTGATGTAGAAAGAAAAACCTTTGTGGCGGCAACAGAGATGACTCCAGTTTGACCTCTTGACCAGCTTGGGACGGGAGAGCACAAATATTCTGACTAGTGTCTTAAAATCATTGCATGGATTTTGAGCCATGTACAAAGAATTGTTGAAGTAATAGTTTTTGGGAGATATGTTTATTTACTTTACTTGCTATGAGTTTTATCAGAAGATGGAAGTCGTGTGTACATTACATATGACGCTACAGCAAGCAGACGGTTAGCTTAGCTTAACATAAAGACTTCCTGGAGTCTCATGGTGAAGACATGTTTCTGCACGTGGCCAAGAAATAGTCTGGCACATAACCCCAACGTGTTGTTTTAACACTTACATTTTTAAACAAATGAGATATAACATGCTGATCAGTGAGCTTTAGCTTTATTTAGCTGGTAAGTCTATTTTGTTAATGTTGGAGAGTGTAATGCTTGTTGTTTCACCCAGTTTCCATTCTTTGTCCTAAGTTAAGCTAACCAGCTGCTGGCTGTAGCTTCATATTTACTGTACAAACATGAAAGTAGTATTGATTTTCTCATTTAACTCTCTGTAAGAAAGTAAAGAAGTGTATTTCACAGGACATCTATTCCTGAACTGTTGATTTAGGGATGCACCGAATGCTCGGCCACTGAAATTAATCGGCAAAAATATATAAAAAAAACAAACAACCGAACAATTCCGTTGACACTGTGGAAGCATTTTAAAATGTCTAAGAAAGACGCAAAAATCGCCGTTTGCAGACACTGTTCTGCTGAATTGTCCCCTACCACATCCACTCCATCTGTGGCTGACTTCTTAGAAAAGGCAACAAACAGTCAGTTTTTCACTTGTCTCACACAGACACTTGTTTCTGAGAAGGCGATTAAGCTAGCCGCACCTAAATTTGGAGTGCACACATATTCAAGCCTTTATGGTAAATCCACTGAAACAGACCAGTGCGAGCTGACCGGAGCTGTCGGGCAGGTTGGCGACTTTATCCTGTGGAAGCACTGTGACTATTTAATTTATGCAGTGGTAAAAATATATAGTATATTCGGTTTTGGCTTCGGCCAAGAATTTTCATTTCGGTGCATCCCTAATTGATTTGATAAAGTAATAAGCTCTAAGCTTTACTTCACCGTAATGAACAGCTAATATCATTTAAAATATATTTTCTCCTCTCTAAAATGTGCCGGTCTTTAATTTGTGACGTGGGTGGAGGTTGATGGTTTGAGCCTATGTTTTTATTGTTGTGGCAGCTTTTTAATTCCATGTGTGTTTATCTGTCTTTCCACCTTTCAGCGTGTGGTGAAGGCAGACATTGTGAACTACAGTCAGGACACCGTGGCCAGGACAGTCAACCCCCCTCGCAGCTCCATGTGTGTGGTGCAGTGACCCCCTCCAACACACACACACACACACACACAGAGTCACTCTTAAAGATGTAAAATTGTCAGTATTCCTCTTTCAGGATCTTTGGGGTGACTGGATGAAATGTGAGTGTGTTCTCTGTATTCCTGCGTGTCAGTTGTACGGGTGAGTTGAAGAACAGACTGTGGCCCTGGCCTGTAGTTTGGATATTTAGCAGGAATGATTTATTTGTGGGTTCACCAAAAACAAACGGGACCTCCAATTTTTTTCAAGTTTACACGTGGCTCTCATTTGACTTCTATGATTCATCTTAATTTTTAAAAAAGTGATTACTTGATTTATGTGTTAGTATGAAGCTGGTTGTTTAAAGAAGAAGGACAACTATGGTAATCATTCACTCTGGTAATTGAAAATATTTTTATATACAAGTACATTTTCCTCTGCCATTGCTATTAGGGGCATTTGTTTCAATGATTAGATATGCTGCAGTATATTTCTAACAACAACAACACCTGAAAGCTGTTGCTACAACTGCAAAGTGGATTTGTTGGAAGAGTTAATGGGACATAAACTGGGAGGTTAAACCAAATGCCCTCTTATACAATGTTTTTTGTGATGTTCTTTTGTCTGTGGTGCTCTTCAGTTGAACAGGAGGGAAATAGGCATTCAAATGCTGTAGTGGACTGAAATGAATCTCTTGTTTTCAATTTGCCAATTAGGGGCTTGCACTAGTAGTGCTGTGACGTGAACTGTGTACTGTTATTTTACATAGAAATATTTAAATTTTACAATCACAATTTACATTTTATATTCTTTTTTCTTCAGATTATATCCTCCCAAAAAAATACATCTCTTACATAGTATCTTTGTTCTCCAGATGTTTTTTTGTATAGTCTACTACGCATTTGATTATTTAGCTTTACATTACCACATTATGAGACATTACTGTTTAGATACCTTGTTAATAAAGTGTTGATAAAGCTAGACGAATATGACTCAGGAAGTACCTGAGTGTGAAGCTGAACATGAGCTGAGCTGAAATGTGCAGCATTTTAGTAGAGGTCTCTACATAGCCTTATTCAACTGTCCGTTATAGAACAGAAAATTGCATTGAAGATTGGCTATAAGGCATGAAATGCTTCACAGGATCTTCATTTTGATCACATTTTAATAGCCTGCTTGACAGTATGTGTATTGTTAGAGACAGCTGGGATATTGTATGTTTAACAAGTCAAAGTAGCTTCTACATGATAGTAGATGTATGCATGATGGAATTTAATGAGGTGTCCGCCTAATGAAATATCCGCCATTTGTGTAAAAATATGTTTGTACAATAAAATCAAACCGCTGCTTCATTTCAAAGCTTCTGTCATTAATTAGAAATGATCAGAACTCATCCTGTAAATTCTGATCACGTAAACAAAATGTACGCTTTAAAAAAACATTAAGAATGTACAGTTTAAAGTCAGTGTTTAGTTGACGTCATAAACAGACACAGTTTTATGATTCTCAATAAAAATGCAACATGGAAAACAAGACATAATTTGTGCAATGAATCTGTCAATAAATCATTTGTTTATAATGTTCTTTTTGGAGTAATTCACTTCTATTAATAATAGTATGTCTCGATTTTTGCTACAGTGGATTGTGTGTAAGAGGCTGTTCAATCTTTTTTGTGGAGTTTCAGTCAGCAGCATCAGACCTGTAGCAAACTCACAGTAGAAATTCATTGTCTCATAATGGACGAGTTTGGAGCAAAAACTTAAATAAACCTAAATGAGTTAATCATTTTCAATTTGTTGAATCCACTGTCTGCTCTTTATATGGGTCCAAGTCGCGTTACTTCGATTAATTATATTATAATAATCTAAGTATAGTAATCTAAATATATTCTAAGCCATATCTCGTCCCTACTGGCTCTTCATCCCACATTCATACTTTGGCAGGTATTACTGTAAAATGTATAAAATTGCATTAAATGTAGTATTAAAATGTATTTAGGTGAATCTAACATCCAAAAGATGTTAGTTTCAATAGTATAGCTTTACCAAAATACGAGCTCTATGAATATGCTCAGTCTCACCCAGGAGGTGCTCAAATGAGCAGCAGATGACGATGACTATAGCTGATGAGGGCATTACAGGTTAAGGATCCATGTGTTGAAATTTAAGTGTAAGGACTGAAACGTGACCATCCCAGAGATCCCCCTCTATACAGACCTAAGTCTCTGGTAGCTAATGAGCCACCTGGTCTTTGTTCAGTAAATCTTCACTGAAACAGCCCCTAAATCCACTCTGGAAAGATGATACAAACGGCTTTATAAATTGTTTGTAAGCTGTATTAATTAATCACTTGTTACACGATTGCAAGAGGGTTCTGGTTTTGAGTTTAGCCTCTTATTTTTTTTGCTGAGTCTGTGTCAATGAAACCGCCGGTGTATTTAGAAGAATTAAGTTCATTCAAAACCAGAGACAAACGAAACAAAGACTGTATCTTTACGGGAATATCTTGCATTTCTTCTTCTAGGTGTTGCTAAATGTCACTGTCTGCTGCAGAGCTACTACAAACAACTCTGAGACTTAATGGAGAGCGAAGCAGCTGGGGTCATTCCAGCACACGTGCATTGTTTCGCTTGAGTGGACGTCTTAGGAATTGTCTCTGCTGAATTTTTGTCAAGAGCTGTCACCGACACTGACAGGCGAGACTTGCCCTTGGCTTTGCTGCTGTTTAGACAGGTGTTTTTGCAAAGAAAACAACTGCAGCTCGTTTCCAGCTTAGGCATTCACAACACTGACATCCCTCTAAAGACGGAAGGAAAGAATATGGCGCGGATAATGCCTGGGAAGGGTGAGGCTTTTGACAGACTGGCAGAAGTCGAGGGCGATTTGCGTCCAAATGAATTTGTCTACCTGTTTCCTCAGGAGCTCCATGTGAATCATTTTGTGTGTTAGTTGGTTTTGGTGTTTGCTCACTCTCCATTTGGGTACACATACCATCGAAGATGCAGAAGTAAACAGACAAACTGTACGATGTATTTGTTCATGTTTAGTCAACCGCTGTGACACATTAAATTTGCTCACTACTTTGTAGTCTTGGAATAAGTTTTGGTCCACCATGAAACCAAAACACTTCTTCCCTCTGAAGGTCTTTGCCTCTTCTTTGAGCTTTCAGCCTGTATTTACTTGAATTGAGTGGGCACGGGTCCTGTTTTTTCTGTATTTCTCTTTCCTCTTCCTCCCCGTCTGTGTTTCTCATTGCTGAAGCTCTGTGATGACAGTCTCAAAAAACCACACACGACAAGCTGGTAAGAGGGCCATAGTTGTGGGTTGTGCTTTTTTGTGTGTGTGGGCAGAACGGGGCCAACACCCTCATGATTACCCACTCACCCTCTTCCGTTTTCCACCTGTGCAGAGTGCCAGACCCACAGCGTTGAGGGAGTAGGCAGGACTGAGTCAACCCCTCTGATGAGCTCCAGTCCCCCTGGTCCCCACACTGGCTCCTATTCTCTGTTACAGAGCTCTGGGCCAGCCAGCAGCAAGAGGAGTGACAGACAAGGCAAGACAGGGCCTGCGCGGGGCCAGAGCTGGCATCCAGTTATTTAGAGCCCTGAGGTGAGCCAGCAGTGCTTAGTTCCCAGGGTACTTCAGAGATTTACTCTTCCCTGTTGTCTCTAGGTGTATGTGTGTTGGTATAGATTGTGATCTGAGAACTCTGCCTGTCTCATTTGCAGCTTGTGTAGACACACAGGACTGTCCTGGTAGGTGCTGTGCGTCTGCTCCTGCTGAGAGGCACATGATTTATTTTAGGGGCAAAGGATGTGGGCATTCAGAGGGGTCATATTTATAGTCTGTTGGTCTGGTGAGAAGACCTGCCAGTAAAAGCACAGATTCTGAAAAAGAGGCACGGGGACAGCAAACTGAAAGTCTTTCTCTCTTTAGAGGCCATGGATGAATGCTATTTTCAGTGGGCTGTAATGAATAGCACTTAAAACTGAATAGCTCTTGTATCAGATTTTAGATGCAGAGGGGAGGGAAGGAATGAGAGAGCAATAACAAGTCAAAAGCCTCTTTACAGGCCAAAACACAAACATCACAAGTCTGATAACCCCCAACTTTCCAATTTATTTTAGATGTTAGATAGCTGGGAAGTTTATGTATTAGTCCCACCCCACTAGAGTATACAAGAGACAATGATGTGTGTTTAAATTGGCACGAGTAATAAACCACAAGGCAGCGTATAGACTGCATCAAGAGGCTTCAACACTGAGGCTGAAGCATGCATACACAGTATATCACCATAGTAAAGTACTGATATAAAAGTTGCTTCTACAATATAAATTCTATGCTGGCAAGACGGGCATGATTTGTTTCTGTAAAAGACCCCAATTTTAAATCTTAGCTTTGTCACCAAGTCACCCTTGATCCCCAGTTAAAGCAAAATCTTTTGAGTATCAAATACTCACTGCTTTTAGGCTTGGAAGGTGGATCTGAAAAGTTTGTACCTTGCTAAATTTACAACAGCTACACCGATTGTACTGGTGACCCAAAGCCAAAAAAAGTCAAAACATTAAACATGGAAATGTGCATAGAAACATATGCTCAGTATGTTCCAGACAGTTGTTGCTCTGACTGCCAATAAATGCGGAGCTATGGAAGGAGGAAATAATGAAACGTGGATGTAGCGTAATTAGGCATGTTGTGGCAAAGCTACCAATGTTTTGAAGAGCTGAAATATAAGTCGATTGACAGAAAATTTATGTGCAATTATTTGATTAGCGATTATTTGTAATTTGTAAAAGTGACAAACGTTTTGATCGAATGTGAGGATTTTCTGCTTTTCTTTGTCACACATGACCGTGAACGGAATATGTGGACGAATAAAACTTTGCAGATTCCAACTTATATTAACAATATTTTATAGATTTATTTACTTTTATATTAAGTTTTTGTGGACACATTTTGCAAATCTAACTGCTGCAGCTTTACTACATCTGCCGTCCTCTGTGAAGGAGCAAGCTGCATACATTCAGAGCAGCTTTTAACCCTGCAGGTGTTGAGTATTTGATACTCAAATGACAGATTTGTGGTGAGGTATTCTGTGTGTCACAATTGTTATGAGCCTCCCTCTTCGTCTGCAGTGTTTCATCTACCTTAACTTACTGTACCTACAATAGTCATGCAATTGCTAATGAGTTTACAAAATAATTTGTATTTTGTGTTTTAAACTGAGAAACAGAGCTGTGACTGGAAAGATAATCTTAATGTTTTGTAATCTGTAATACACTGTTTTTGTCCAATTTTGAGGCCAGTGTTTGTGTTATGTAAATTCTCCTTATGAGAGATATGACTACAGTCTGAGCTCAGTCTTACTGAGATACCAAGGCACTGGCATGTGGTACACATCCTAATGAAAGGTCAGAGGCTACTCACTCCTAACAAGCAGTTGATGAATGAACTTGGCCTTTTCAAAGCTGATAATTGAGACCTCTTCTGACTCACAGGCCTGTATAGATCATGTGTTTGATAAAGGATCTGCTTTGTTAGAAGAAGACACAATGATATCATCATGTAAAAATGACAGTAATGATCCAACACTCGAGCACTTACCCTCTTCTCCAGCACCTGAAGTCAGCCTGTGCCATCCTTCAACAAAGAGACGGTTACAGGGTGGAACCAGAGTTGGGTGTCACTGCTTACCACATCTGCTGGAAGATAAATATACATAAAAGAACTAATAATACAGTGAAAATATAAGCAGTGAGGCAGATTACAAGGTCATTACTCAACTCTGTCTCTCTTGCTTTGTGATTCTGCCCTCATTGTTCCCCAAAATACTTTGGATACAAAACCTGATACGAGAGCCATTCAGCTTTTTAAGTGCTATTCATTACAGCCCACTGAAAATAGCATTTATCCAAAGATGACACTTTGAGGCTTTTCAAAAGACTACTTAAGAGATGCTGCAGCGTTTTGAGACACTGAAAAGTGTGAATATACATGTTGACGTTCCACTGTGGCATTTCTTGAGGTGGGAAAGTTTGGCTGTGGGATTAAGTAAGTGCTTCTGTGGAGAAAAATGGTCATAGCCAAAATGAATTGAGTATTATTGCTAATAACAGAGGGCATATGCCTTCTGGATTTGTGGAAGTATGCTAATTCCATGTTGATCTGTACCTCAAATGATGTCCCATTTAATGTGCGACAGAGTGGAACTTTCACTCCATATTTGACTGGAAAATTCATTCAGCGTGGAGTCAGGCCTCAGTGGCCTCTGTGGAGAAACAATAGTGTGTGAAGATGGCATGTTGCACAGTTTGAGTCTGTGTTTATTGACATCCATGAGTGACTGCTTCAGGTGTTCGTTTCTCTCCAGGGACGGCCGGTCAAAAAAAACGTTCTGTTGAAATGTGTTGAAAATCTGTGGTCTCTCTATTCGCTCTCTGTCCAAAGAACAAAAGGCACAGGAATATGAATTGTTCCACCAGGTGTCTGTGGAAATGGCGTGATTCATGATGTGTACAGAGGGAACGTATCAT